TGCTGAATGAATGAATGAATACTACTACTACTCCTATTGCCAATCCTCCTGACACTGCACTGCTACTGCTACTGCTGCTGCTGCTGCTACTGCTACTGCTACTGCTACTGCCACTGCTACTGCTACTACTACTGCTACTACTGCTGCTACTACTACTACTACCGCCACTACTACTACTACTACTACTACTACTACTACTACCACCACCTACCACCTACCACCTACCACCTACCACCTACCACCTACTACCTACTACCTACTACCTATTACCTACTGCCTACTACATACTACCTACTACCTACTAAATACTACCTACTACCTTCTACCTTCTACCTTCTACCAAATACCTACTACCTACTACCTACTACCTACTACCTACTACCTACTACCTACTATACTACGTACTACCTACTACCTACTACGTACTACGTACTACGTACTACGTATAGTACTACTACTGCTACTGCTACTGAGTACTGCTACTGCTACTGCTACTGCTACTGCTACTGCTACTGCTACTCCTACTACTACTACTACTACTACTACTGCTAGTGCTACTGCTACTGCCACTAGCACCACCAACCACCGCTGCACAGTTGGGAGGCTAGGGCTTTGAGCCTGAGAAGTGGTCTGAGGATTGGCGAGAGCAAGGAACTCACGGCTTGCAAAGTCCGTCATCGTTCAGCCCAGTGGCAAACAGCATCGTCGTCACGCTGAAGAGCACCCTCAGTCTGATCCATGCAAAAATAATTCGAGAGAGAATGGCAAACCTTCACCTCAACCACAACAACAACAACAGCAGCAACAACAGCAGCAACGGCCACAATAACAACCCCGCCAGCACCACAACCACCACAACCATCACCACCACAACAACGAAAACAACAACCTCCACCACCACCACCACGACCACGTTGACGACAACCACAACCACAACGACCACGACCACAGCAACGGCAGCAGCAGCAGCAGCAACAGCCACCCCACACCCAGACACACCAAACCAAGATTTAAATCTCGACAGACCTACATGCAAACCCGCGGCTTCTTCTTCTTGTTGCAGCTCCGAGCAGCTGATACATCGACAGGACATACTTGACAGGCTCGCTGGTGATCTCAGACGCGGGGAGTCAAGGCGGCTGGACAGCTCCGGTCCCCGGAAGATGGCATCCGAAAGTGCCCGCAAGCCCCAGACTCCCAGGTTTCAATGCAAGACTCTACACTCCAGGTTTTTGGTGAGGGCTTTTTGTAAGTCGGTTGCTTTCGGAATTGAATTATACTAGAAGCATGTGTCTACGCGGTCCCCTGCGCATGCTACCGTGCCTCATCCAGCTGACACTCGACAACTGCCAAGGACGCCCACAGAAAAAGGCACACACAAAGCACAGTAAAAAGTCTGAAAGCAAGCTGCCTTCCGGCTTTTGCACGAATCGGCCTGGGACCATGCTGACAAGCTGCGCGGCTGATGCTAATCAGCTTAAGAATGCCGTTTGCCAGGGAGAAACAACCTGAGTGCGGCGGAGTCGGTAGTGGAAAGGGAGGGCTGTTGATGTCCAGAAGGAATATACGTCCGGCAAATTACAAGACCATGAGGGAGTTCAAGTTCTTGAAGCTGTCCCGAACCCCAAGCCCAACCCTGGCAAAGCCCCAATCACTGCAGATGCGGGGCTCGCTAAGAAGCAAAGGAATCGCACCCCAGCCGGGCCCTGCTCGATCTGAGCAACTAAGGCGCCACCAGCCTACGAGGAAACACTTTGGCTCACTTTGGGGCAAAGCTTCGAAATGGGTGGGCTGAGAGAGTCATAGACCTTGGGTTTAGGGTGGGTTTCGGTCCCCCGCTGTCTCCTGGGATAGTGACAGTGTGAGGGAAAGCCCAGGCTGTCACTTCAGGAATTGAGGAACCTCGCGACTTCTTTTGAAGAGGCTTGAGTTAAGATCTTTGACACCCAGACATCCGCAGGCCTGCATCACGTACGCTCCGGCCATAGATGCATACCTTGGCAGGGCGTATCTCCAGGACTGAGGGTTTGCTCTGATACTGCGACGTCCATTAAGCGAGGATGCTTCTTGGCGGCCGCCTGAACCTGCCCGGGCGCTTCAGACGAGAAGGACTCGAACTGGGGGCGCAAGCAACAGTCAAAGCTTCTGCCTCCGGGTCGTTGCAAAACTCTCTGATCTTCCTTGGATGTCGCAAGGGCTGAGGCGGAAGAGCTGATAGCGACGAGACAGCGTCCGACACCAGGCGTCCCTACACCTGGAACCAAACTTTTCAGATGAAAGCTCCAGGGATCCCAAAGCCCAGAGATATAAACTCGTGCCGAGCCACGCCTGTGCTTGCGACGCATATTCCGGAAACTTCTCTTTGCAGGTGTCCATGATCATCTTCTGCACCTTCCATGGAGGCCCCATTCTCGTAAAGACTGCATCCGAAGGGCGATGGGTTGGGCTGGGCCTCCGGGTCTTGCAGCGCCGCCATGGCATCCTTGCCCGTTTTTGCCGCCTGCTCTTGCAAGGCCTTCTGCACCTTCGGGTCGTTCATCCTCCCGGGGACAAGTCTATACTACACATTATAAATACATGCCTCATCCTTAAGCTAAGAGGCAACTGCTTCTTGACGTCATCGGGAATATCTGCCGGCATGGTCCTGTGCAGCAGCTTTGCATCGACAATATGCGTGTGGCCCCTGCTTGAGTCTTTCGGTCTTAGACACACTGTCACCTTGCCAAGCATCCTCTGATCAAACGGTTAATCGATTCATCTACTTACCTGTACCTCTACCTCAACAGGAAAGCGAGTGAGAAACGAGCCAAGACGGCAGGAGCTTGTTCGATGTAACCCTTCCCTCCTTCTTTGGACGGACTGGCAATCACCACAGCACAACGTCAGTGTCAGCTTGAGCCAACATGGCCAGTCGCACAATAAGCACCACAAGCCGGCTCAGCACGCCTGTGAGCGCTCGCGAGCCCATGTGTGCGCGCTTGGAACTTACGGCACATGCGGTACAGAGAGCGGTCAAACTGAGAAGTGGGTTTTTGGAGGACACGCGGCTTACAGACCAACCTGCACCTACCTACAAGTGATACTTTGCGATCTTCATGATTGGCATGTAAATATGTGTGTGCAAAGTTGACGATACATCGAATTCCAAACCTGGTACGGTAGGATCTGCAGGGTGCACCTTGTGATTGTGGTCTACGACTACGACTACGAATACATGAGTCATGTCAATGGCACAGCACAGGGAGGTTAGTATCCATCTCAAATGCAACCCGGAATTGCCCCTGTGCTCCTGCGAAGCTTGTGGGCTACCGCGACCCAACACCTGCGGCTTGGGCCTGGTTCACACTTGGCAACTGCAGTTTCGTGGAGCGATCACAGAGGGACGGTCTTCAGCTAGGTTCGTAGCATATTCATCAACGGGGAACTGCAAGTCTAGACTGACATCAGCAGGCGCCTTTCTGCGGGGCTGTCAGCGACTTTGGTGCTCGTAGTCTTGCGCCTGACATCTCAAACAAAGAGGTGGGGTTGCGCTCTAGCTGTAGCTTTAGCTCTACCATCCAGCCTTTTTCCAAGTTAACCGATGATTGAATTGAGCTGCATCCGAATGAGTTGAGAATTTCAGAATTTGAAAATCTCAGCTCCAGACGGACGAGACGTGCTTGTTGCAGGTTTTTTGGCCTTAGCGCAAACGCGCACCCGATAAAACACAGCCGGTCAACTGCCTCTTCATGGACAAAATCGACACCCCCATCTGATCGCACGTGTCACCCTTGCTACTTCTCTGCCGTGCGCACCTTGCCGACTGGAACACCGCCTCCTGCCGCATCGGAGGCTGCCTGTGGTAGCAGCTTGCGACGAAGAAAATGTGCATGTGGAAAAAAAGGGCAACCTAATACGATGGCACAGACGAGGAGAGCGAGCACTGGCACCCCTCACTAGTGGTGATTTTTTGTCAAACTCCGCAAAAGCGAAGACGCCTAAACCGCCAAGGCCACAGCCACCACTCCACGACAGTAGCATCATTCAGCTCGATGGCCTTCAATTCTGTCACGCGCCGTCCAGGCTGCGATCGCCCACGTGGCTTGGCCTCCTGTCAGCTGTGGGTTCGTGCTTTGGGCAGGGTCTCTTCTGCTGCAGGGCCGGACCCAAGCTAAGACCACAGGTTCCAAGGCGGAGGTGTCCGGGGGGGAAACTTCCTGCTTGGACCCCCTGTTCCCGACGAGACCCCATCCTGCGCCTGCCCTTGGCGAATGGTTTTCCTTGCCGGCGGCTCCTCCTGCAGACGGAAAGTGCGAAAAGGCAGTATAGCATCACATACCATCACATGCACCGCTCACTTTCTGCGACATCACGACCAACAGAACATCAACAACGGAGCAATCGAACGTGAGTTCTGTTCTCTAGGCCCTCAACCTCTGCGGCTGCCCTAACTTCTCACTTCGACATCAACCACCAAGGCCACCGGCCCTCCGCCGCCTCAGGCTTTGGGGCCGCAGCCGGGGGCCGGCCAGTCGTCGGCCGGGACGCGCCCTTCCTTTGCTGCACCTCCTGGAAGGCCCAAAAGGGGGGGGGAGCTCCAAAACACACCCGTAATTACCTGCATGCCGTCATAAACTTCCCACAGGCCGTCAGCTTGCGAAAGAGCTGCCTGGGTCCCGAATTCCTGTCAAGCATGTAACCCCAGACCTCTGGAAACCACTCTTATGCCCTGAAACGCAGGGAGACCAGGACCTCGTCGTCGGAGAAGAGACGAGAAAGGCTTCTTGCCACGGCCTGCTTTCGCTTGTTTAAACTCGCCTTACTGCAGACGGCTTCGAGCTGAGGGCATGAATTGTTGCCCCTGTGCTTGCCGGATGGCCGACTAACTGCTGGCGAACACTAGATGCTTGAAGGCGGGCGGACTGCAAAAGGGTGATTCTATACCATTGCAATTCCCTTCTTTGTCGTGAGTATGACTGTCATGATAATGCTCCCTTGCGACCACAATCGTCATCACCACCATCTTCTTCTTCTTCTAACGCAGCCAGAGGTCCTGGTCTAGCGGGTGCATATACAAGATGCAATATGCATCTCGGCCGTTGCGTCTTCGACTCACGGCTAGCACGAATGCCTATGGTAGGCGCACGCTCTATAAATGCTGATTGCCCTGCAACTTTGAAGAAGCAAGTCAAACAAGAGAAGGAGCCTCCAAGTAAAAGACCTGTCGCCTCTTTGAGGCCGAGTTTCGGAGACGGCATTGAGCCAGGGGTCAAAATGTACAGCGTGGACCCTGCAGCTCATGAAGCACGCCTCCCGACTCTTCAATCATCCAAGGTTTCCAACTCAATGGGCAGTCTTGTGGGAGCCACCTTGTTTCTGCCCCCAGCCGTGATTCCCACTGGTAAGCGGAGCAAAATGAAACTCATGCGACGCTCTAGCGTATCCATACGCTCCTGGAGCACATCATTGTCCTTCACCAGCTGCTTTATCCAGATTTCCAGAAGATAGAGCTGGCGGGATAGTCCGCGCTCCCGTTCCGTGTACACTATCGGATCCGTCCAGTCCATGCTGTCCATGCCGTGTAGAACTTGCAACTGCACTCGAGGGAGCTTGGCTGAGGCTCACGGACGGGAGGCACATGATGAGTACATACATGGACTGAGATGTGTCATCCAAGTCCCGAGGCAAGGCTTTTCTGGGCGGGTGATCATCGTCCAGCAGAAAGTCTTCGCTACCTCTCACAAGCACCGTGTAGTGACCTGCACGAAAGGTATCTCCATGATGCCGGATGACGGAATGCACAAGACATTCATGTCGCTCGATGGCCTGAGAAGTCGCATCCACAAAAGTCGGCAGACTCAGCGTGCCTGGCACTACATACGGTTGATGTGTTTTGTCCCCCGTGGTCGGATTGAATCTGGGCAGCTGCAGGCTAAACCACGAGTGTGCGGCGGTGAGAGCACACAGGTCGTCCTGTTGATGCCAGGCATCAACGAGCTCCTGAACATCCGTTTTAGGGGCTGGTGGAAGAGGCAGGGGAATGCATTTGCATAGGGGACCAGCATTATTGACGCGTGTGACGTCCTCAATCACAGCGCGCCCTTGCCACAAGTCCCCGGTGGCACGAGCCAGCCTGGGCACGATAAAGTCATGAAACTCAGCAACATCGTGCTGAAGCCAAGCTTGCGGCCACCCCAGCATATAGTACCCCAGCACTCGTCGAGCGTTAACCCCCTCACCCTGCAGGCATTGTATTGCATGCGGCAGCGGGCTACGTATGCGTACCATCACAAGCCAAACTACATACAACAGCGAGTTAATATAACAAGCATTACCATCATTGACCAGAGTGAACGGTGGCAGGAGTGATGCATGAGGAGATTGGCCCGAGCCTGCATTGTTTGTAGGCATCAGCGCCCATAGGCGATGCGAGCTATCTGCTGTGCCAGTGGCGGGCGCTTGAGTGTGGCCCGCTTGACCGACAACCCCACTAGCTGCAATGCCGAGATCCCGATCAGCTGCACGAAGGTCTCGTGCACTTGTGCGGCGAGTGCCCCCCGTAGGCTTACGGAGAGGAAGAAGACCGCTGCCGTCGCCTGTTCGTCCTCTAGAGCATCCAAGCGCTTGGTCGAGTGGAACTTCTGGATCACCTCCCCTTTCAGGTTCGCCAACAGGAACTCGATCTTGGCCTGGAGGTCCTGATGTTGCATCACCCCGGCTTCGGGATGTTGCACCAGTTTCTTGGCCTGGTGGCACCAGCGCATACGAGTCCAGTGCTTGTCCGCGTTGAGCCAGCCCGCGGCTTGCAACTTTGCAATCCCCTCGGCGTCCGCTGTCATGTGATTGATGCGGTCCCGAAGCTGCTGAACGAGACATGCTAACAGCAAGGTGCGGATGGGAGAGGTGGTCGCACTCGTCCCCTCCTCCTGTTGTCGACTCCATTCGCGGGCCACTCGGTAGAGCCCCGGAAGGATGCTGAAGTCGTCCTCCCGAAAGTACAGGAGCAGGTTCTTGTCTACGCGGAGCTCGGAGATGATCTCCTCCTGTCTCATGATCATCTTGGCCATGGCCTGGACCTGGTCGTCGGAGTTCGCCGGCACGTACTGGGAAAAAGGAGCGAATGGTCGCCGTTGCCCTCTGCGGCCCTGCGTTTCCTGACGAGGTCGTTTGTTGGGGGCGGTCTCCGTCTTTGGCGGGTTGCCGTTCTGTGGCGCCACCTGCGACATGCAGTGCTGGAAGATATCCGCCTCGGGGTTCAAGCTCGAGCCCGTCATCCTTTGGCAGGGGTGCTACCTCAGTGCTTGCAGCGCTGGCATCAGGTGGTGCAGGGGTATCCGGAGATGCCCGCTGCTCACAGTATGCAGCTGCAAGGCTAAGTTGGAACAACACTGGGCACTGATCCACGTGACGGCCTGGGCTCCAGACCTTGTACGAGCACCAAGGGCAGTTGCTATTGGTGACCAGCTGCTTTTTAAAGGGCTTGCAGCGCTGTTGTACAGTGTCCTTGTGCATGGATAAGATCGCAGGATGTGTGCGGCGGATGTGCTGTTTGATGTGCTTGATGTCCATGATAAACATCTGACAAATGACACAATGCCTGGTGAGCTCATGGCGGAGAGCAGGATGAGCAAGCAAGGAGTCCCACCGAGACCACGCTTTCAAGAAAAAAGGCCTAAGGACGAGCGGAGTGTTTTGCGGTTCCACCGCAGGGGCATCCGGAGGCTTCTCCTGCTCAGGCGGAGCAAGTCGTTGTTCCACCTCCGCGTGTGGCTGTTGGACGAAGCTGGAGCCACCCAAAGCTGCGCACGTGCCTTCTTCGATGTGTCTACGAAGATTCTGCCATTTCTGGAACCGACGCCCACAGAGCCTGCAATGCGGCAAACCACCTACTGCGTGCTGAGTCGGATCAAAAGTGGTGGCCTGGCCCACTGTGGTCTTAGGTCCCTCAGGATGATGCAAGCCACAGTGAATCCTCAGCGCATGTGAGGTTGGCGCTACATGGTTGCAGTGCGGGCACGGCCAGCTTTCAGTAGTGTCCGGCTGCCTGCAAGGTACCACCAGTGGGATCCTCGCCTGTAGCAAATGCCGAAGCCGTTGCTCCTCGAAACGCACGTGCTTTAGTAGCGCCGGGTCAGTCGTGATGTCTGGCGCCTGCCGCGCTCTATCGTCGAGCTTGGCCCGAAATGATACCAGGGCCTGAAGGACCCGCTGGCCCGGTGGGTCAACCTGAGCTTGCTGCCAGACGTCCTCATTCTGAACCCTGGTCAAGTGCACCGGGAGTCTGAGGATTGCGCGCAAATGCTTGAGCATGCGGGTTTCCAGCCGCCTGAGACTGGGTTCAGTGAGCCCTACCGCGGGTAACGAGTAGAGGAAGCTAGTGCTGACGCAGGCATCCCACAATCTTACGCGATGAGCACTGGAAACGACGTGACGCCCTGTCAGTGCACGTTGTACCGCATGGTATCTCTGCTGGCCACTTTGCACACGGTGCTCCAGGTTGGCCTCTCTATGATTATGATACGAGACCTTGGACCCCAGATAGTCATGTTCCTCTTTTAAGGGTATGAGTCGCTCCACCCCTTTGACAACAATGCAAAGATGGGCTGCACCATTTTTTAGTCGTATGATGTCGTGGAGTGCCTGTTTGGCTTGCTTACCAACGAATTTGAGAAGTACTGCCGTCTTACCATAGTTGATCTGCATCTGGAAATCCTCCAATGTGCCCAGAAGAACAGTCAGGTCACGCAGTGCACATCGGAGGTCATCTATGGAGTACAAGAGCCAACTGGCCCAGCAGTCATCTGCAAAGAGAGTGAGGATGTTTTGCACCCAGCCCTCAGGGAGTTGCTTCTCAAGAGCATCCATCAGTGCTAAGGTGTACCATACCCAAAGACACGGTGCAACCTTGCATCCTTGTTTGAGCCCGTTGGATGGCACAAAGCTGGAGCGACAATTCCCGGCCTTGTAGAGGAAACGGGAGCCAAAGTGCAGTCGGTGAGCCACCTCGATGACCGCCGGAGGCACCTTGTAGTTTTGCAGGGCTTGGAACAGCTTGGGGCGGTTGGTAAGGTCAAAAGCCCTACTCAGATCGAGGGACAAGCTGAGGGCTCCTGTGAAAGGACGCGGCTTGCAACCTTGGTATGCACCAAATCTCGTGATTCTGCTGGCCCGGAAAAGTACCTGAGCCTCCGCCACATGCTTATGTACTCGGAACAGGGCATCGAGGGTGCCACGGTTGGGAAGATACGCATACTGTGGCCTGTGACGCAGCAAGGGGAGCTGCCACTCCATCATTCTATGCTTCAAGATCCCCGCTAGAGCCTTTGAGGTGGGAGCCATGAGTCCAATCGGCCTCAAGTTGGCCAGGACATGAGCAGGTTTGTTGGGCTTTGGCAACATGGCCATGGTGGCATCCGTGAGGTCCCCGCGGAGGAGGCCAGGACTGCCCTGCTGGAAGTGCTTGCGGAAGGCAGCTCCAAAGACTGGACCGAGACAGTCCGAGCAGAGTTTCCACATCCCAGCCGGTGCAATGTGACTGGGCACGGCCTTGCCCGCTTTTATGGTCCGAAACTGTTGCACGACCTCCTCGTCGGTGATTGTCAAGGCCTGGGTCAAGGGGCCCGCAATGGGCAGATCCGGGAAGAGGGCATACGTAGCCCTGCCTTGGTCCGCCAGAGCCTGTGCTTCCTCCACCTTGGATAGCAGCTTGCCATCCTGATCACGAAGGCGCGAGAACAGCTTCCGATGGGCGGGAGTAAGTGATCTGACGATGCCATGCAGGGTACGTTGATCACCAATGGCCGCAGCAGCTTCTGCCTTACGAAGTTTGTCCTGAAAGGCATCACGCTTAAGTTGCTTACTCTGCTCTCGCAGTGCTCTTGAGGCCCGCTCAAAAGCCGCGGCACAGCGCCACTGCTGGAAAAGCCGGCCTACAGTTGCAACGCGGGCTCGCTTCATCTGTGCATAGAGGTGCCAAACATGGCGAGCTGATGCTCGGTACCCGGCATGGGCACTGATGCGAAAGTCCTCCGCAGGCTTGGCAGGAAAGGCTTGGCGCACCGCCTGGCACAGAATCCTATTAATGCTATGGTGTACTTGATGCAGATCGCCCTGCGTAACCTGGGCAACCGCAGCTTGCACACTCCGGCGGAGTGATTGCACCTGTGCCGTGTCAGAGGAGAGCGCAGCTTGCAACGCAGACTTATCATACTGAAGGGGCTGAGCTCCTTTGATGTCAGCGCGCCAGTGCACCGGCATGATAGACAGAGTCGCCTGGACCGGCAGGTGCCCTGCCTGCCTCCACCCGGCTACCGGAAAGTTAACGAGTGGCCTAGCCATCTTGCTTGTCTGACCGGCAGTAACACATCTGGTAAGCACATAATCAATTTGGGTTTCACCTGTATGACTGTAGTGCGTGTAGGCAGGTCGGGCTCCCCAAGTGTTCAAGGCGCATAAGTTATGGGCCGTAAGCAGCCGATTGAGCTGTTGATCTTGCGGATTGGCTTTGCTGGGCATGCTGGCCGGACCGGCCTCTTGCCGCTTCGGTCGAACACTGGCATTGAAGTCCCCGCCCACCAACAAGAAGTGGCGAGCCGGCATCTTGGCACATGCTGTCTGCAGGTGCTGCCAGATTTCGCCTCTGAGCTCTTGGTTGCGCTGTGCTGTCAGGTGGCTACGCCAGACGTGTTGGTAGACCACCAGTATGTCTACAATAGTATTTGTGGTGACATGTGTGGCCCGGACATGCAGCACTCGACCCTTATGAAGCTCATGTACCGCCGGATCCCGAAAATGTTTCTTAGAAAGCATAATCATAACCCCGGCATAACTATCGTGGGCCTCGGCAGGATCGCTGGCACTGTGGATGCACATCCAATGGCCTGAGGTGTAATCGCTGCTCTGTGGCCAGTGCGTTTCCTGAAGCATGACGATCTGATACTTGCTCTGTCCATCAAGCCATGCCATGAATTCCTGATACACGGCTGAGCTAAGTCCTCCCGCGTTCCAACTCAGACACGGCACTGGCGGAAGACGAGCCTGGCGACGACGTGGCTGGGCTCGAAGGGACCTGGGCATCGGAGGTGTTGGGGTGTATTCCAGGACACGCAGTTCGGCCAACGTATGCCAGCGGCCCCGGTAATAGGTGCCACCGTTTTGCATCGCCCGTAGGCGGGCTCTGCGATACGCTCTCTTCTCTGAGGTCTTAGGCTTGAGGGCATGACTCTGAGGCGCGCCCGGCACCAGTCCGCGATGCTTCCCTG